CTTTAGCTATGTGACTTAAATCAAGATCGAGGACCAACCCAACATATAGTGAATAAACTCTTCAATATAACAACTTTACCCTTTGGGATGGGGAGTTAGAAGGGGTTCGGGAGGGAGGGATAGATGGGAAGAAGGATAGGGGAAGGTTAGCAGTGTGGTCAGAGGACACAGGTGAGAAGGAAAACGAGAACAGAAAAATAAAGAACAACTCCCAGTGAGGACCAAAACAGGGACAAAAAGGGAAGATGAACAATGTGGGAGAGCAAGAGAGTGAGTGTAAGAGAGAGAGAAAGAAAAGAGAAAAGAAAGAAGAAAAGAAACAAAAAAAAAGGAGAGAAAAACAAATATTTGCAAAGAGTAGGGAAAAAAAATTAAAGATAAAAGGAGCAAAAGAAAAGCAAAGAGAAAAAAACCCCAAAATAATAAAACTAATTTTGGGAATAAAAAATAACCATGAAGATGAAGGGCCTCTTTCAGGGTATGTCTCTGCTGTCACAAAAGACAACGTGGGTTGCAGTGTGCAGATATAAGTCAATGAGTCTCAGCAAGCTAGTCGCAGACCCATGAGATTCAGGCAGATTTCTGCCTGCAAGTGCCAAGTTGAGCTCCCTGCCCTCCTATAGGGTTGAACTCTGCAGAGTTGTATTGCAGGTTCCAGCTGCCCTTCTCCTGAAGATAGTCCTGGTCCTGATGGGAGGTGAAGATGACTCCAACTTACCCAGTACAGTGGTCTGGTGGTCCGGTGTCCTCTGCGTCTTTGTAGCGTGGAACCAGGTGGCTGTACAGAGGAGCGGGTGTGTGTGTGTCCAGTGGATTGCTGCCAGGGCGCGGGCTGATTGGGCACGTTGCACGCGACTCGCGACGTTGCTACGGCGTCTGCAGACCTGCCTGTCTGCAGCCGGTAATGATCTTTCTCAAATATTACTTATAGAATTGTCTCAGTAGTCAATTTTATTACAAGCTCTTTATTGGCAGATTGCTTTTCTGACTTTATAGGGAAAACTGACATTTTCCTACTGACCTTTCAATTTTTTTCTAAAACACTCTTATATGATACCTCAGATTATACTATTAAACCCCATTTCTGATGCACACACTTATCTTCCTCAAAGGGAAAGGCAGCTATCTGCACTAAGGATTTTCAACATGTTATTTTAACCCCTGGACTCTTGACCCAAAGTACAGAAATAATTGCTATTTTGTATATTATACAGCTTACTAAGCTGACCCCTGTAAATATCATTAGTGATTCAGTCTATGCAGTGTTTCTTACCCGGGGGCTCGAAAGTACTACTTTGAAAGCTACCTTAGACCCTCCATTCTTTATTCCATTCCTTAGATTACAGGGGACATCCAGAGTTGCTTTACTCTCTTTTATACTGACATATTAGATCCTATTGTTATTTACCAGGACTCTTAGCTTATGGTAATCAATAGGCTGATTCTGTTAGTTTATATTACTTCCTTTGATTTGGCAAGGCGTTTCCACTCATAACACCATCAAAACAGGAAAGCCTTAACAAAAGAATTTCAACAGTCCCATTCACAAATTAGGAAGATTGTTTTATCATGTTCCACCTGCCAACCATCCCTCATCCCATTCCTGCTGAGGGATGTAACCCCCAAGGCCTTAAAGAAAATGAAATCTTGGGCCGGGGATTTAGCTCAGTGGTTCCACTGCCTGCCTTGCAAGCGGAAGGACCCGAGTTCGATCGCCGGTACCAAAAAACAAACAAACAAACAAAAAAGAAAATGAAATCTGGCAAGTGGATGTTACTCATATCCAGTCATTTGGATGGTTACAATATGTCCATGTATCTATAGATTCTTACAGCCATATAATCCATGCTACCTGCCATAGTGGCAAGAAAATAGGACACGCTCAACAACATTGTTTGTCTGCCTTCAATGCTATGGGAGTACCACATACAATCAAAACAGATAATGGTCCTTCATATGTTAGTAAAGCTTTATCCTCCTTTCTTCAGCTCTGGTGTATTAAACACCTTACAGGCATTCCCTACAATCCTCAATGCCAAGCAATAGTGGAGTGTGCACATCTCTCCTTAAAAGCACAATTACAAAAACGAAAAGGAGTATAGTTATCTCCACAAGCGTAATTAGATCTTGTCACTTTCACTTTAAATTTTTTGAATCTACTTGCAGAGAGCAAAACTACTCCCTCAGCACTCCATTGGTAGAAGGATGATGCTATGGATAAGCCTAAGTTTCATGGAAAGACGTTCAAACAGGAAACTGGGATGGCCCAGTGCAACTAATAATATGGGGAGGAGGGTATGCTTCTGCATTAACAGATAATGGAACACCATTATGGGTACCATACTGGAATGTGCAACCACAGAGAGAGGACTATTCCTCTGGGGGAGCCTGCTGCCACCATACCCATCAGTGCGAGCCTTCTCTTGGATGACTCTGGAAGAAACACCTCAGCTGCTGAGAACCATACAAGCAGCAAAACCCTGACATGAGGTCAAGTGAAGATGACAACCCAGGAAGCTGAGAAGATGGTGGCTGAACCAGGGCCTCCTGTGTACTCCAGAAAATGTTTATTGCCATGATGCCCATCATCACTTGCATTGTATATATAAGCCCTGTGTCCGGAAAGGAATATTGGGTGTATGTAGCAAACTCCCCTTTGTTACAACCTCTTAAATTAAATTAAATTAAATTTCCTCCAGAAATTTATCATGATCAATTAGATTGGATGCCAAGGCCTTATATGGCCCCAATTTATAGAAACTAATATCATCTTAAATTATACATCACACTTATTTTTTTGGTACCGGGGATCAGACTCAGGACCTTGCACTTGCGAGGCAGGCAGCAGCACCACTGAACAAAATCCCCAGCCCTACATCACACTTCTTACACACTTCTTACGTATTGAGCCCAGGTCCTTACAGTCAAACTACTGCCTGTCTGTTCAGCCACAGATCTGGGTGGCTCACCAGAAAAAACAACTGATGATTCTAGGTTTGGGATGTATTATTATCTCAAGGGAATGGGTTAACAACTCCATGTCCAATGTTCCTCCATGTACAGAATATATATCCTGGGCCACCACAGATGAGTGTGCCACCTCCCACCTTGGACCTCCTGTAAAGGAGACATGGGGCAAAAAACACATCTAAGTCAATTTGAGTTTATAGATTGGGGCTCCAGAGTAAAATTAGTAGGGAGAGAAAATAAACATTCAGCTTGGCATACAGTCAAATGGTGCTGGTACATTAACTATTATGGAAAAAATACCCGTTCTATATTCTGATGCTGAAGGACAACTTGAATGGGATGAGCACGGTTTTAGCCCTTCATTACCACAGACCATTATCAATGGCAGACTTGGACGGACCCCTTCAGGAAACATTTTGGAAAACAGCCCTTCCTTATTATAGTGGTCAGCTGTGGAAAGGGCATATGGCTAAATTTCCTACAAATACGTCAAACATTCTAATTTGGAAAAATAATACCACATGGTTTCCATATGTACTTAAAACTCTGTCTTTATATATGGGACTACTGAATGGAATCACACCTCATTAATGTCCAGAGAGTGTACACTGAGTCATTTCATTGTATATCAACTGGAGCCCTAGTTAATAAAACTCTTAGGGCACATGCCAAGACTTTGGATGCCAGTAAATCTCACCAGGTCATGGGCCAATACTCTTGCTATTTACCTATTGGAATCATTGACCTGACCTTGTGCATGGAACAAAAAGAATGTTAGTATTGAATATTGCTGGAACTGTTTCTTTGCTCTCGTTAATTTCTTTAATTCCTTTTTTTTTTTTTTTCCAGTACCAGGACTTTGTGCTTGCAAGGCAGGCATGTTGCTACTTTGCTAAATCCCTGGCCCTTGCTCTCATTAATTTCTAGCATTATCACTTTTCTCTCTCACTCACTCTATATATACTGCTTATTTTGTAAATAATTGGACCAGAACAACCGACAAGGCTTGGAATATACAACATTCTACTGATGCAAAATTGCAGCCACAGATTAGTGTTTTAGAGACCACTGTTAAGTGGATGATAGAAAAGCCTACAATTACAGTAGGGTCTTCAGTGTCGTTTTCATATTACTTGGTATTATATAACTCCTCTCATGTATAAACCAGTCTAACCACCCTTGGGAGCATATAAAAAAGCACATATAGGGTGCTATCCATAGTAATATAACTTTATTTAGAGGTGTTAACAAAAAGAAGTATTATCTATGTCTCAGCAGACTCAAAATTTTGATAAGCAAATTTACGAGTGGGATAAATCTTGATCAGCTTAATCCATGGAACTATCTTAAAGCCCATATTTTATTTTACACTGGCTTGAGTATATTGTGCTTCTGTTTTATATTTTTACTTATAGTATGCCACTGGGGAAGCCAAATCAGACACCGCCTAAACACCATTCAACCTCTTCACACTGTTTCAACTACTGCAATTACAAAAACAAAAGAATGAACTGTTGGGGACTAGGCTTATGTCACCCAGATCTCACAATTTCTTGGTCAGTGTTATCTTGCCTTGGGAAATGGGAAGTATGTGGAAGGCCTCAGGCTCCCTGGTTATCGGTGGAATGCTGATAACCTGGCACTCCTGTGGCAAGACTGCATCTACTGAGGACAGCTGTTAACATACAGGCATTTGGGTGTAGAGAAAATCTGCTTCTTCCTTAACTCAATCCTCATCCATCCATTCTCTATAGCTGCTATTCCATGAAACGCATACTACCCCTTTCCCTGAGCTTCTCACTGGCTAATAAAAGCACACCAACCATGGATTTTTTATTACAGTCTGTCTGCTGAGCCAAGTCTCTTCCCAGTTCCACCTTTATATCCTCAAAATTGTCTTTCTTTTTATTCCTTGTTGCTCCCCTCAAAAGGTAGCTGAGGGTCCGATCACCCCTTAGTACTCAGACATACTTGTGAAGTGGTTATTGTGATTTGGGGTCCTTTCCCATGCTGGGGTATTTATCAGGGTACAGATTTATCAGGGTACTCATTTCCCGAAATAGGGCTTCCTTCATTACCAAATTGAGGGCGGCACTCACTGGCCCAATGATATCCTTTCATTTGGGATGTTTTCTTTTACACTTGCCTTCTTTACTTTACTTATAACTTTTGCAATCCTTCCGAAGATGTCCCTCTTTGCCACAACTGTAACGCTTTAAAGGCTGCAAAGCCACAGCAATCACTTCTGCTTTATGAATTTCAGTTCCTACATTTGGCAAGCTTTAATCATTTTGGCAATATTTGAGTTTTTTTCCTTTAAGGAGTGCTAAGACTCTTTGACAATCAGTGTTGCTCTTTTCATACACTAATTGAAGGGCTAAAACATCTGCTGCTTGGGGAATGTCTGTCTTCAAATTGCATTTTGCCAACAATTTATGAAATCTATGTCAGCCTCACTTGGGCCCTGTCTAATGATGGCACAGGAGCCTTGAGGGGTGTTGGTTTCTGGGATTTGTGTCTGTGACTTAAGAGTGGCACAAGAAGCTTGAATGAAAGTTTGGGTATGCATCTGGGATTGTGCCTTGGGGGTGGCACAGAGGGTGGCATAGGGACCTTCTTCCATGAGCATGTCAATTCCAATGGGAATTCCCGTGTTCAGATTATCTAGGGACTGAGCAGTAGCGACTTCCCAATATTCTTGAAGCCATACACTGAATTGAGCAACAATAAGTGCTGTTTTTATTAGGACAATCCAGTCTTATGGTGTCATCTCATAACCTTGTCCTACTGCCTCTACAATTCCTTTTGTAAACAGGCTCTGCAGACCACTATGAAAAATGTTTTTTCTAAACAATTTAAATACCACATAAGGGAGGCTATCATGTTGAGGTCCTTGTCTTCCCTTAAGAACAGAATAAATGT